AATGTAAACAGTCATGGTGATGGGTGCTGTCTGATGGCGAAGCTCTCCTGGACGTGGTGACTGTTCTGTAGGTGTCTTTGGGACATCTTTTTCTTTTTCTTTTTTTTTACACTGCAGAGGCACCCCTGCACCGCTCTGTCACCCAGGCTGGAGTGCAGTGGCGCCATCTCAGCTCACTGCAGCCTCTGCCTCCTGGGTTCAAGTGATTCTCCTCCCTCAGCCTCCAGAGTAGCCGGGACGACAACAGCGTGCCACGATGCCCAGCAAATTTTTGTATTTTTAGTAGAGACAGGATTTCATCTTATTGCCCAGGCTGGTCTTGAACTCCTGACCTCAAGTGATCTGCCTGCCTTGGCCTCCCAAAGTGTTGGGATTACAGGCATGAGCCACCATGCCTGGCCATCTCTGGGACATCCTTGGGCATCCCACATCTGTCTGCTGCTGTTTGGGCCTGTCATTCTGTGCTCAGTAGATGTGGCAACGTGTCATCCAATAATTGATCCCTTACCAGCTTTTTAGTTTTTTTCTGAGATGGGCTTTTGCTACATCACCCAGGCTGGAGTGAAGTGGTGTGATCACGGCACATAGCAGCCTCAACCTTCCAGGCGCAAGGGATCCTCCTGTCTTAGTCACCCAAGTAGCTGGGAATACAAGCACATACCACCACATCTGGGGACAAAAAAAAATTTTTGTAGATGTAGGGTCTTGCTATGCTGCCCAGGCCAGCCTTGAACTACTGGGCTCAAGCAGTTCTCTTGTCTCAGGCTCCCAAGGTGTTGGGATTATAGGCATGAGCCACTGAGCCCGGCCCCTTACCAGCTTTAAGTTCTTCAGTTACCTCTTGGTCTTTTCCTCTGCAGGCCAAGTAATCTTAATTTCCAGAATTAACTTTTTAACCCAATCATCACAACCTTTGAAATTACTGCACCCCTCACCCTTAATTTTTTAGAGCCTCCATTTTATAACAAGTGGCTAAGCCCTGAGTACATAGAGACTGATGAGGAGATTGCAGCATGGTTTATCTCTGCCTCTCTGCTTAGATTCCTTTTAATAATCATTAAATCTCTCACGTGCCACTTCTATTTGCAGTTTACGGAGCACCACCATATCCCTTATCTCAGGCCATCAGCCCTTCTTAGTGATCTTATTATTTCCACTGATTCAGGTTAAGCTTGGCCTACTGTAGGCTTTATTAGATCATCTTTATTATACCTGTGGGTAGATTTTGTAAGCAGGCCCTAGCACAGGTTCACTTGTGGGTTTCCTTTTAAAAGGTCAGTGTGAAACCGGAAATGTGACTAAGAAAATCTTCTTCCTCCATGAAGCCTCACTTCATTAACTGGAAGAAAAGCTCCCATCCTCTCTCCCCCCAGACTTACTCATGGTCCAAACAGGCACATTTCAAAAGAGCACGTATTTCCCAAAACACTGGCACGTGCGTTCTAAGGCTCATGCGTACGGTGAGTAGTTCTTTGTGAGATTTGCTCTGTCAAGGGGCCCTGTCGTCACAACAATCACTGTTCTTCAGAGGAAGTGCAGGGGCCTGAGAGACCTGGAAACCTGGTGGCTGAACAATGAAGAGAGTGGGACCCATGGTTGGAACAGCTGGCCGTGCTCATGTGGATAGGGGCAGAGCCAGAACGGGAATGAAGGTCTCCTGAGTCCCCTGCCACATTAACCCAAGTAAACTCCATGTCTTCCTCCTCAGCTTCCGGAGGCCCCCGCATCTTTCTCCTTCTGGGACACAAGCCAGGTTCAGTTGCAGGGTAGACATGTGGTTTCCAAGACAGGATGCCGGGCAAATTAATCTGGGATTCCTGATTGGGGTTCTTTAGAAGGCAGTAGTGGCTCACCCTTTAGATCATCTGGTTTGCGACCTTGTCTCAGTTTTCTCATCTGTAACATAGAAAACTAATCGTACTTATCATGAGGTAAAAATAAATGAATACACATGAAACACTTAGAGCAGTCTTCGTGTGATTATTATTCTGGTGGGTTGGTTAGCTTTCCTCCATTCTATTCAGTTCAATGAGAGGTTGGCATCAACCACAGGCTTTGCTGGGGCTGTGAAAATGGCCACATTGAGTCTCCACCTTAACCCTGGCCAGTCTCCCAACAGCCAACCATTTGTCTTAAGAAGCGCTGAAAGAAATCATCGAATGGTGCGATGCAAAGTCAGCACTGATGGGGCTGCGGGGCGTCTTTTCGTACAGGACGTGCAGTGGGGAGCCCACCTCCGAGTTGGCCTGTTTCCGGGTTGCATGGGGTGCCCACTCGTCATAGACTCCGAGTGAGTGGCATGGTGGGCCCAGGGTCAGTTCTGGCTTGGCAACGGATTCTGTTACTGAGGGCAGGGGTTGAGGCGCAGGAGCCTGGGGCTCCAGATGCTTGGAGTAAATGCGGAGCAGGAGTGGGATGATGTGAGTGGGAGCTGTGGCTGGGTTCAAGGGTGCTGAGTCCTGGCCTGACTCAAACTTCCAGCTTCTGCTCTCAGTGCCTTTGTCTGCATGCTGGGAAATCCCTGGGTGCCGGGTTAACCCCCAACCCAAAAAGACACGTAGACACTTCTCCTGAGCTTTGAGTTGCTTCATTCTGCCCAGCAGCTTCCTGAAAATGTAGTCTTGCCACACTAGAGGAAGGATAGACCCATAGCTGTGGGGGACTGTGTGTCAGCAGGATTTACTATGGGGTGAGCTGGGGCTGCAGCAGCACATGTGAGAAACTTTGCGGGGCTGATGGTTTTCAAAAAAATTTTTAAAATTAAAAAGTATTTAAAATTTTAATTTTTATTTAAAAATTTTGTGGGTACATAATAGGCGTGTATATTTATGGGACACAGGAGATATTTTGATACATGCATACAATGTGTCGTAATTGCATGAGGGTAAATCACTTTAAGCTTTTTTCCTTTGTGTTACAAACAATCCAATTATACTCTCTTAGTTATTTTTAAATGTACAATTTAATTATTACTGACTATAATCACCTTGTCGTGCTATCAAATACCAGGTCTTCTTCATTCTTTTGTTTTTGAGACAGAGTTTTGCTCTTGCCACCCAGGCTGGAGTGCAGTGGCTTGATCTTGGCTCACTGCAACCTCTGCCTCCCAGGTTTGAGCAATTCTCCTGCCTCAGCCTCCCAAATGGCTGAGATTACAGGTGCATGCCATCACACCTGGCTAATTTTTTTGTATTTTTAGTAGAGACGGGGTTTCACCACGTTGGCCAGGCTGGTCTCGAATTCCTGACCTCAGGTCATCTGCCTGCCTCGGCCTCCCAAAGTGCTGGGATTACAGGCGTGAGCCACCACACCTGGCCAAGATCTTATTCATTCTTTCTCTTTTTTTTGTAGTCATTAACAAGGTTGAAGTTTTAATAAAACTTATTTTTATTGCACATACCATGCATTATGCACCAATCTGTGTTCTTCCAAGGCTACCAGGAACCTTTTGCCTTTGTATCAGTTCATAGTTGTCCTCTTCTCCAGCTGCCTCTGCACCTGGGTCGGGGTTCTCTTTTATCGAGTGAAGCAGATGTGCCCAGGTACAGAGAAATACTTTGTGCTATTGTCCGCCAGGCAGGAACATTTTCTTTTCTCAGCCATTCTTGGTAAATAGATGAGTAGTCCTTACTCGAACTCACTGGGTGTCATATGCCACAGCCCTAACTTGAATGTACCGGCTTGCTGCAAGCGGATGATTTCTTAGAAATTTGCTGTGTTCCTAGATGGGATTAAAATAATCTTTAGATTAGCCGGGCGCGGTGGCTCAAGCCTGTAATCCCAGCACTTTGGGAGGCCGAGGCGGGTGGATCACAAGGTCAAGAGATCGAGACCATCCTGGTCAACATGGTGAAACCCCGTCTCTACTAAAGCTACAAAAAATTAGCTGGACATGGTGGTGCGTGCCTGTAATCCCAGCTACTCAGGAGGCTGAGGCAGGAGAATTGCCTGAACCCAGGAGGCGGAGGTTGCGGTGAGCCGAGATCGCGCCATTGCACTCCAGCCTGGGTAACAAGAGCGAAACTCCGTCTCAAAAAAAAAAAAAATAATAATAATAATAATCTTTAGATTATTAATGGGTCCCTACCTGGAATCCGTTTGATCTTAAAATAAAATGGCAGTGGAACATATTTTTCATTGATTTCTAGCTGATTTGCAATGAAATTAAATGTTTGAGTATAAAGAACATGTTTTAGGGAGTAAACTTAGAGATGGGGTTGCCAGGTGCTTCCCGTTGATTAGCCTAATGACTTGATTTTCTGGTTTCTCACTTTTTTTGAGTTCCCTCACTTTTCTTCCAGAGTTCATTATGCAGATCTGGAAAACAACAACAAAACAGCAGGAGAAAAGCAGGGGTTAGTTTGGGGGTTCGAAACGGGAAAAAGCAGACATTTCCAGCTCCCAACATCTTATTTCCTGAATATCTTCCGAGCCCGAGAAAATGGCTCTGAGCTGCCTTTGCAGTCTTGAAGCAGCACTTGCATTCCCACCAGCCCCCTGGGCCTCTGGTTGCAGCCTGGGGAGCGTCTCTGCACTCCCAGCCTCCTGGGCATGTGTTGGGGTGAAGATGTTGTGCAGTGAGGGGTGGGAGCCTCACACCCTAATAGAGCCAAGCCGGCCACACTGCCTGTCTTTCCCAATTAGTTCCCCAAAGGGAACAAAGCCTTATTTCTTCCCTCTCTTAGTTCCCAGGCACTGGCTAGGGAAAAACAATCCTTGGCAGCTCAGGGGTTAAAAATAAAACACAGCGAGGGGGAAAACAAGACAGGCAGCTGCAGCGGCTCCTCAGAGCCCACTCCAGGCTAAACAGAGGCCCCAGCAACTCCTTGGAGACTTGAACCCTGGGCGATGGAATTTTCCCTTGCATGAAGGCTATTGTCCTCTGGAAAGGGCCAGGGCCAGAGGAGGGCCTGGGGAGCACTGATCTCCCGAGCCCACAGCCAGGGAGCTCCTGAGAGCCCAAGGGCTCGGTCCCACCCAGCTGGGTTTGGGTGAAAAGGCAACGGGGGTGCGGCCCACCCCTCCCCCTTTGGGAAAAAGGGAGGGCTTGGGCTTCCAAAGGCCTGGGTACCAGTTGCTGCCCCACTCCTCAGCCCAGCCAGCCAGTCACTGGGACAGAATAAAAGGCTTGGTTCCCTTGGCAACTGAGGGATCTACAGTTTTTCACAGAGTACAAGTTGGGCTTGGGGAGGAAGGGAGGTGAAAGTGAGAGATGGGGGGGGGGTGGTTTGGGGGGAGGGGCAGCCTGTTTACCAGTGCTGTTTGAGTTTGAGCCTCAAGGGAAGCTTTTGTAGGTTCCGGCCTGGGAAACGCAGGATACCCTGAGTGTGGGTGATGCTCTTAACTGCTTCTCAGTTTCGAGTCACCATTGGAGGCCTCTGGTCCATGGTGGAAATGTGATTGTTGTAGGCCTCATGCTAACCTCATGGACAGCTCAGGAGCGTGAAGCAGAGCCTACCTTTATAGGCGACTAGGCCTGGCCCTGTTTTATAACTGGAGACCCCTGGAAGTGTTGATAGATGCTTGAGCCCATAGAGAGCTATTTGTGAAGTAGAGATTAGAATAGCAGGCGCCTGTCTCCTGGGTCTGATCTCGATGGACTAGATAAGGCTATTTTTAATATCAAGTGGGAGAGTTGCTGAAATACAGACAAAGTGCAGAACCTGGGCTGATTTTGTCTTAAGCACAACGAGACTTTGTGAGAGGAGCTTAAAAATCTATCCACGTGCTGAACAGATACATTTAGCTTCAGTGAAAACAAGCGATAACGGACTGGAGACTTTGTCCCAAAACTTTGGGATAAGAGGTCCCCACATGTTGTCACTAGCACGGAGGTGTACGGGAGACTTGCTATAACCCTCTCTGAAGATTTAGATGGTCAGGGCTACCTGCCTGGCATTGATAGAAGCACCTTTTATGCTGCCATGAAAAATGTGGCATCTACCAAACGAAAAGAAAGGAAGCAGAGTGAATATGTTGATACGGTGGCTTAAGAAGAGATAATAGTGTAATCCGACACGTTGTTCAAGAGTCTTAAAATGATTTTTTAAAAAAATGAAAAACAGAACCCCAAATCCCTATCTGGTATAGCAGGGAGTTCTTGGAGACGGTGAAAATGGGGTTCATGGCTGCTTTGGTGGAAGGGCTTGCTTGGTTCTTCTGCTTTTGCCCGAGGACCTGGGAGTAGGAAGGGGATGTTGGGGGAGAGGTCAGTGTTTTCCTGAGCAGATGGCGAGGGCCATCACCGTGAAGTACTTCCTCATGCACACGGGGTCAGTTCCTTCAAAGCCTGGCTCCGATGGGTGAGTCTCATCTGAAAGACACAATTTGAGGAAACCTAGAGGGCGGCTCCTAAAATGAGGAAACACCTGGATGGCAGGTCTCTGATAAAGAAACAATCCTGAGATACCACTGCAGCTGCTTTGCATGCATGACCTATGGCCAATCAAACGACCATTTGCTTTAATCATCATAACCAAATAGTAATAATAAAAAGATCAAGGAATCACTTATCACCTGATTAATTTACTTACTGACTGGCGAGTTGGCAGAGAAACAAATCTGGGCAATGCAGAATAAGAAGCCATTTAGAAAATACGCAGAGAATGGCAACCCAGGGAAGAGAAACTCATGTGTGCTCACTTCTACACTCTCAAGTGCATATAATTTCATGTAAGTTTCAAGACAATTCAGTGAGGTTGGTGTGATTATTATTCTCATTCTGTAGATGAAAAAACTGAGATTTGGGTAGGTTAACTAACTTGAGTAAGATCACAGGGTTGGAGGTGGTGATCACTGGGTTTTGAATGCTATCAGATTATCCTCTATCTATACAGCAGCATATAGTTAGAAAAGCATTTTCGGATCTGAAATCTTGCTTGATTCTCAAAACCGTTTATGGCAGGAGGTGATTCCCATTTAGAGCCATAGAAGCTGAAGTTCATGGAGTTTAAGTGACATATTCCAATCACAAGACTCTATGGGCAAAGCCATGACTGCTCTGGGACTTTTCCCACAATGGCCTGTTTCTTCATCTCAGATTCCATTCTCAGATGTTTGGGAACATTTTTCTGGTTTGTTTGTTTGTTGAGATAGGGTCTCACTCTGTTGCCCAGGCTGGAGTCCATTGGTGCAATCGCAGCTCACTGCAGCCTCTCAACCTCCCAGGCTTCAGCAATCTCCAGCCTCAGCCTCCACAGGCTGGCTAGGACCACAGGTATGCCTTTCAAAATTTTTCATAGAGACAGGGTCTTGCTACATTACCCAGGCTGGTCTTAATCTTACCTAGGAAGATTTTTACTTATTTATTTGTTTTTTGAGTCAGAGTCTCGCTCTATCACTCAGGCTGGAGTGTAGTGCTATGATCTAGGCTCACTGCAACCTCCGCCTCCCAGGTTCAAGCACTTCTGCCTCAGTCTCCCGAGTAGCTGGGATTATAGGTTCCCGCCACCACCCCCAGGTAATTTTTGTATTTTTAGTAGAGACAGGGTTTCACCATGTCGGCCAGGCTAGTCTTGAACTCCTGACCTTGTCATCTGCCCGCCTCAGCCTCCCAGAGTGCTGGGATTACAGACATGAGCTACCGCATCTGGCTCTAGGAAGATTTTGATGTCTGCCATTCACTCATACATATATTTATTTGGCAATTCAACTACTATTTGCCAAGAGCCTGTCATGAGCAAGGCATCAAGGGGAATAGAAAACACGCTAGATTTTTAAGAAGTCCCTGTGAATAAAGGGAGTCTTAAATCTCACTGTCTTGTGTCTGCCTTCACAGCTATCCGTGGAAATTTTCCAAAATCAGTGTGTTAATCGATGTGTTTTATTTCATAAGCCAATACACTTACAACTGAGGAATTAAAATATCAAGAACGATTGAATCACAAACATTCTCTGTACACCTTACACCTTAAAATGGACGTAGTAATTCATTAAGGTTTGGATGGTCTGAGGAAATAAAACGTTAAGGACTATTGAATCACAAACATTCTCTAAACACCTTAAACCTTAAAATGGAGGTAGTAATTCAGGAAGGTTTGGAGGGACTCACAGTGACACCTCAGTGGGACACTTCCAATTCCTGGAGACAGAGGAAAAACAGTTTTGGTCAAGGCTTCCCTTCAGCTATCCACTTTTGCTGAGCCGCTCAGCCTGTCTAGCATTCCTGTCTTCCCCTCACCGTCCCTGCAGACAATATTGTGAAGGGGCCCTTCCCATGGTCAAGCTTCCTCCCCATATCTGATTTCATGGCCCAGCTACTTCCTGGACAGAGCCAAACACAAGTCTAGATGCCTAGACTTTTATGGGTCAACATCAGTGGGTACGCTGGTCATATTTACTATACAACCAACTGTACAGGATCACACATTAACGATGATTTCTCGCACAGAACTTCCATGGGGAAAACCTCATCCTCCAAAAAGACAGAAGTTGCCAGAATATGTACAAGGAGGCAAAAAGCACTTAAAAACAAGGGAGCAAGGCAATTTGCCCTGGAAGAGCGAGCAGTATTGGGAAAGCTGATGAACAAAATTTCCATCCCTCACTGTTCATCATTCATCAGTAAGTCATGCAGGTCAAGGTGTTAGGGAAGGGGAAGAGGGTGAAGAGAGGAGAAAAGGGAAGCTAAGAAGTTTTGTTTTGTTTTGTTTTTTTGAGATGGGGCCTCACTATATTGCCCAAGCTGGCCTCAAACTCCTGAGCTCAAGTGATCCTCCCATTTCAGCCTCCCAAATAGCTAAGACTACAAGTGTGAGCTACCGTACCCAGATAGCTATGGAGTTTTCATTATAAGGAAAATGAAGATGACAAAGGAATGCTGCAGACAGACTTTTGAAGGTAATAGATCAACTCAGGCTGAAGTGCAGTGGCACAATCACACTGTAAATGAGTATGTTTTTAAATTTGTGAATTATAACTCAATAAAGATATTTTTAAAAATAGATACCCCAAGCCTCACACATTTAAAAAATACAGGATATGGTACACAAAGAATAGATGGGACACACTTAAACTAAAAAGAAATTACTTATTATTTATCTGAAATTAAAATTTAACTGGCTCTCCTGTATTTTATCTGGCACCCCTACCTCCCCAGCCCTCCACACCCAAAGCTCTTTGAATTTTTTATTTTCTGTCCATATGAAATATCTCTTAGGGCAAAGAGCTTCAAGGTTTATTACCCTCGTTGTGAAGCAGTGTCATGCTTTGTCTTCACTTCTCCTAAGTGTCCCCTTCCCATGTATTTCAGAAACTGGTACATTTCTGCTGGGCTTGTTTTCTCCTTAATTCTAGGAGGTCCATGCTCAGCATTGGGC